ACAAAAGACTTAATAACGCAATCAAAGGTGTAGTAACGCAAATAGAGGCGTCATTACACAAAAAAGCCGTAATAACGCAAACAAGGCGTAATTAATACCCATGTTACTATATATAGAAACAGAAACCAGGGTATTTCTGGGCCATTATGGCAAGATGTAGGTCATTATTCAATTTTGGGCGCCTTGCTACTCGGCATTATTTTTCCATAATGGACGAATGAATGAGCGCACGTGCAGAATGACGTCATCAACTCTCAGTGACTTTCAAGATGGCTGCTGACGTTGAATGAACTGTAGTCACTTGCACACACAATTTTTTAAAGTTTAAATGACATAATCACAATCAGCAAAGCTTACCATTGAAGATTTATAAACTCAAGACAATACATGACTCTCAGAAATTCCAAAAACGATATTAGATTGACTGTAAGAAAAGGTGGGATCGTTCGCATTTAGACCTAGACAGTCTCAGAAACCGTTCTTGAAGGCACAAAACTTCCAAAAAAACTGTTTTTATCTCTACATTCAAAATGTAATTCTCACAAAACAAATGTGAAGGATAGGATTATGTATCGATATAAACAAAAATAAAACAACATTTTCTTATATTTATTTGTGTTGTCTTGTTTTCTAAGTTAATCTGTACTTTGTACAGTATGACAAATATTTGTATACATTGACAACTATCCGTTTCTTAGAAAGGGCGACAACCAAGATTAGCGGCGATGTCTAAACGCCGTATTTCGGACATTGGTATTAAAGACGTTAATACTTGGTTGCTGCTCGCCATTATACGATAATGGCCCTTGAGTTCATAATGTCCTTCGGGCCTGCGGCCCTCAGGCCATTATGCAAATCATAATGGCGAGCAGCAACCAAGTATTAACCTCTAAATAATGCGAAACAAAAGGCGTAATATTAACACGAAAAGGCTTAGTAACGCAAAAAGAATATATTACAGTAAAACACTAGAAAGCATGAAATAAATGCCTTTTTTTTGCGTTATTTTGCCTTTTTGTTTCGTGAAATTACGCCTTTTGGTTCGTGTAATAACGCCTTTACTCGCGTAACTATGCCATTTGATTCGCATAATAACGCCTTTTTGCACGTTATAAAGGTTTTATTTGCGTTAATTTGCCTTTTGTTTTGTGTTATTACGCCTTTTGATTCGCGTTATAACGCCTTTATTATCGAAAAATCGCTTTTGTCCGCATTGCTACGCTTATTACGCCATTTGTTTCGCGTAATTACGCCTTTATCCGCGTTATAACGCCTTTGTATTTTTAATTTTTACTTTATTTGTTACTTTTAGGCTTTCGTAATGAAAGCCATCACACAATTAAAAGAAAACTGCGAACAAACGTGTAAAAGTCTATTTTTAACATTGGTAACCCAAGTGACCCTAAACTCTATTCAAAGTTAGAAACAAGACCATCCAAAGGGTATCTACTTTACAAATTTCAAATATTTCACTCAAAAATTGAAGTTGCTGACGGTATGCACAAAATTATGATTATGAAAAGTGTATCAGAAATTTCCAAAAAAAAAAAAAAGAAAAAAAGAAACTTTTTATTATCAAATATACGTATTTATCGTATATTGTTACATATGATTTGAGAATTTTACATTTTCACAAGTTTAATAACCGAGAGGATTTTTATACTTACATCATTGAAATGGGTAAAGAATCACTCGTTTCGTGCCCACCCTAATACTACTAACCTCATAAAATTTCCCCAGATAACTTCTTGGTTTCAATTGCAAGAGGCTTTTGTGTTTCCCGAGTACACGAGGTGTTCGTATTACTCAATTGTATAGTTTACCATAGGTTTTGAAGTAAATTCTTTATACGAAATTCTTTTTAAACTGAAATGTAGACACAAATTATTTCGACGCCTCGTTTTTTGAACAATTTGATTTGCAGATTGTTCAAGTTATCCAGGTGCATGTGTAAAAATATTTATTCGTTTTGGAAAACTTACTAACTCTGCATGTTCAAATACCTTTCCAAACAAAACTATTCTAAGTTCTTGGTACACACCCTTTCCATATATTCGTTCACATTAAGCATACAGCAAATTGAGATGATAAGGAATGATATTTCGCCAAGAATCGTTAAATTCTCTGCTTGCATTCAATATTTTGTAATAGCTCCTTATAATACTGTAAAATATCTTTTCAATAAGTAAGATGGAGGAGACAAATGAAATACGTTTGATTTATGATTAAGGGCATTAAAAAGTATTATACAAATTAAAAAAAAATCATGTAGAATTCATAAATGCGACTGGCTTTATTTAATGCTTATCATTATCAACATGCAAACTGGGGCGATGTCTAAACTTTACTCAAAAAGAAAAACCCTGTTGGTGTTTTTGGTTAAGCAAACGAATTATCAAACAACTTCTTTTTTACTGTCAAATAGACAAATTAAAAGATGATTATGATTCTTTGCTTTGTTTTTGATTTTCATAATTTGACAGCGTTTATGTTGACAAGGTATGTTTACTAAAAGTGCCATTTAAAGATGTATCTTGATCTATTAATTTCGTTTGACTCTCATTTACATGAACGGATCACAATACGATGCTGTTTGATATCCTATATTCCAGTAAAATATAATTATAAATATAATTTTTCATACATGTACCTTTATAACTCAAGTAATGTCGTCATTTAATATGTAAGTGTTATCCAGCTTTTACTCATATACGACCAAACATGAGTAGAAGCTGGATAACACTTGAATATTAAATAATCAATTGTTTATATTGATATATATATGTATCAATATAAACAATTTGAGAAGCCGGTAACTCAGCTTTACTTACCCCTGTTAAAATTGTCCCTCAACAAAAAAGTAGTTTCTTCGAATCATGGATTGGATGTGTAAAATTTGATCTTCAGAATTACCAAAGCAACTAATGCCATTCATTTTAATACCCCTAACTGTCTACTAACAATCATTAGTGCCTATTTAGATTATTACCATAAATACTTTGATTGAACAAAATGTTGGTGGCTTATTTAAAATATGTAACGATTAAAGGAATTAATTATTGATTTCACTTCAGCTAAAATTAGTCAACACAAATATTAAGAGTAGAGCCTGTTTTGACAAACTTAAAGGAATAGGAATGGATGGATTGATGTCTGTCTAATATAAATATTCATCATTTAAAAAGAGGAACCATGACAGTTTTCCTATTGACATCAACCCTATAAGAGAGAAATTCGTGTTTTAAGACACTATTTTTTACTTGAGAAATAAGTTCATGGGCGCCGCCATTTTGGCGTTCTGTCATTCTCGCGAGACAGACGAGACCGAGATTGTGACGTGTTATACCCACTTCCGGTATAGGTGTACACGCTGGTACAACTGAAATATATCTTGATGAAGAACTTATTAATTTTATTGCGTACATTATATATTATTTATGAAAACATCATACGGAACTGAATTGCTTTAATTAATTAATTGAAGACGCCGCGACATTAATTATTATTACTCCGATATTCAAGCTTGCTGATGATCCCACCACATGATTTAAGCAATGACTGCTTAATTTTCAAAGATAAACCATAAATTTAATTTGGGTAAACCCCTAATAATTGCGCAATAATTGCCAAACGGTCTTTGGGTGTAAAGAAGGTTTTGCGTTCATTGAACGCCGCCTTTCCTTGTTGATCTTGTTTATCATATTATTTGTATGCAATTTTCTTCTCTGGTGAAGGAGTCGCAATAAAAGTGCCGGTGAAAAAGGGAAAGTATCACTGGGAAGTATTACAAAGACGTAGTACTTAAGAAACTGAAAAAGTATTATAAAAAACTACGTCCTGTCACTGGTTTTAAGCATATCCGTCTTTATATGACAATGCCCCCGCTCATACCTTTTTTTTGAAAAAAGAAAAAGTAACTGTTTTGCCTCAGCCCCGTATTCTCCAGACCTTGTCCAATGTGATTTCTTTTTGTTTCCGAAATTGAAATCCTTCCTTGCTGGGCGTAAATACAAGTCCCGACAGGCACTTGGATCTGCCATTCATCAGTACCTCATTAGTTATTACTGTGCCCAAATCAGCGTACCGTGACGCCTTCAAAAGGTGGATACGTGAAACTTTGCATTTCTAGCCACGGGGAGTACTTCGAGGGCATGAAATGAACACTTTTGAACTTGAACTTAAAATTTGAAGTCTCCAGATAGAAATAAGCAATACATTTCGAACATCCCTCGTATAATTGCAGTAGTATTGTAAACTACGTGTCGCCTTTTTCAAAACAAGAAATACCGGTTATAAGTTTCATTTGTCTCACATGATCAACTATTTTTGCGTTGGCTTATTTATTATCAACAGAACATGGAAAAAGACATACCGAAATGACAAAATGAACTTAAGTTTTGAAAGCAAGAATTACATTTCAATTCGAAAAGGAATACCATTTTACATGTCAACAGAAATTAATTTCATTATCCTTGTTTATGGAGCCTTTTGTCTTTCCTCAGCACAAAAAGCTCACGAACGAGCATTTGTGTCGTTCGCTATCCTAAATCAAAGACAGACACATTGTCTCTCTATATCTCATAGAGAGATCATACAAAATGAGATAAAAGGTCAATGCCATAATGTCAGATCACAAAGTCGGCTGCTCTATCACATTGAACGTTTTTTCATGATTTATTGATCAAGTTGTAAATGGTTGAATTCGGACCCAAAATTAGCTCAATGAATAAGATGAAAAGAAATATGTCAATTGGTTTTGCTCTAGAGATTACATTATTAAAGGGAAAGACAAGGTTAGAATAAAAACTTGATTTCAGAAAAAGAATACTATAAATAATAAGTCTGCAAATTTTCTGCCGCCAAATAATAATATTAAACGAATGATAACAAAATTTAAATCGCTAAATCACCGATTTCTACAAATCAGTAAGCGCGGCCATGTTTGTGTATTGGCCGTATAAAAACAGGTGCGCGTGATGTCATTTCCCCACATCTTGGAGGTTATGCAAACCCGACATTTGCCTCTTTATTTTTACTTAAATGTCAAACCTTTTCATCATTTTTTTCTAAAAGCAATGATCTTGCAAAGTTTGCAAACACAGTACTGTAGATGTGCGATTTCAAAATAATAAACTTATTCAAAGTTTAAATTCGCCCAGATGACCAGTTTAACGTTGATAATTGGTGAAAAACAAATCCATCTGAAAACCAGTAATGTTTTAAACCTAAGTAACACTCATTAATAATTTTTATCTGACTGTTTTCATATTATACATAACGAGATCAATGTACACGATATTTAATTATAGAGTTAAAAATCACTATATTTCAAAGAGCATAAGCTGTGTCTGCTGTATTGCTAAACCGGGAATAAGACCAATATTGTAAATTTGACTCCAAATTCATCCCAGTTTGTAAATATGTATAGCAGCAATGTAACAAGTTAAATGATGATGATGCATATCAAAGACGCCGCCAAATGAAGTGAACAGTCACAGGTAATGCACAAAATCTGAATTGAAAATCGTTCTCTATTACAGTTGAATATCCGAAGCACTAATCATTTTTTTCTCCATGTTCTTGTTATGTGTCTGAAAGCCTGAAATGTTTGTCTGTTGCGACAATGATTGGACAATGATTGGATAACAAGAAAAATTGAAATGATTGGTAAACCTATAATGAAACAGACGTATTAGTTAACCCGATGTGGTATCCGACAAAGCAGTTTAGTTAAAGAAATAAATCTGTTCAAAGGCAATATAAATGTTTTTACAAATATGGTATTGTAAATAGTTTCATTGACAAACTTTAAATGATGAAATAAAGAAAGTCAAAAGATATTAGTTTTGAATTTGAAAAAGCTCTACCTTACAAATTATATCCACGATGGATTCCGTATTCAGTTATGAGATATCATGTGATAGAGAACTTATTTCAATATAATTAAACAAAAGAGCTTCTGTTAAAAGAACAACCTACGATTAATAATATTGTGTTTTTAAACAACAACAACAACAACACCCCCAAAACAAAAATATATCTTATTCATATTCCACTCAATCGCTTAATCGCTGTTAATTGTACATGTTTATCTTGCTGTCTCCCACGCCTTTCTTTTAAATCTTTCTTTATTTTCTTATTCACGTCTTTCATGTTTTCAAAACTTTGCTGGAGAAAACAATCATGAACAGTTACACCTGGATAATCCTTTTTATATAAACCCTCATATAGACTAGTCCTCGTGTCGTTACTCCGAAAATGCAGCAAAACAAGGATTATACCTCTACTACACTCATCTGTAATTGATGAGAAACATACAATTACTACGACGCTGCTTAAAAAACATTTAAACAATTCAGTAAAATTTGCTCTTAGAATAATTCTTGCTTTGTTTCGCTTGTGCTATAACTCTTGAAATACAATCTGAAAATGGTTAAATAGATTGTATTTTTTAATATTTCACCGTTATTGGTAATCTGTTTATGACATTTGAAACATTGTTTACTTAAGTTGGTTTAAACATATTTATTTAAGCTTGATTGCGAAACAAGTTCTTGCAACTTATATTAATCTTCCTGGAACCAGCCAGTACTAGTGTCATATGAAGAAACATGGTCGTAACCCGAGTATGGCTCGAACCCATGATCTCTGGGTTGAGAGGCAGACACCCTAACCACTAGGCTACCGCTACCCTTTCTTTAGTTATTTTGTCGTTTATGTTTTAGATTATTACATATACTTTAAATGTAGAGTAAATCAGAGCATTTTACTCTTAGTCTCAATCTATGGCCACTTGCCTCTTTTGATATTACGCAGTATTGAAATATTTATCAGTGCAGGCCATGCACGAAATTAACTTCTGGCACAGTAACTCATGAAAGATCTCAATGCATGAAACACTTAAGTTCAAATTCAAACATTTAGTGTACACCTGTGTACAAAAATTATTAAAACGTCTTACTTTTTAAGTCTTTCAATGTGTAGTTTATATCAGCTTCAGGACGAGAGTGCAATAAACATAATGCAATAATAGGGCAGCTTTTCTCCTCGCTGAGACTTGTTGTGATCGATGTGTTATATCCTTTTTTCGTCAGATACTTTTGAAGGGTGATCGCAAACGATTTTGTATTGTTTGTATCCCAAACGTCATAAATTATACCTCTTTTATCTGAAACGCATGCAAACTTTCTGCAGATTAACCACATATGACACCAAATATATGCTTATAGTAACATATGAAGCTAAATGTATGCATATATTTTTTGAGAATGTTTTATGTCCATAAAATTGGGGAAGGGCATAATGTGTTCGCCATCTGTGTGTGTGCGTGCGTGTGTGGCCGTTCGAAAAGAAAAGGTTTTTCTTTTTCTTTTTTGTCCCGTAAATTGGTAGACATAACCACCAAGTAGACAATAAGTCGCGCGCAAGATCCGGTTGCCTACTCAAATGCCAGAGTCAAAACATGGGATTAAACTTACTGTACTTGTCATTTACTGTTCAAGTTGTGTCAGGTCCATAAATTTTGCTTGCATATTGGACTTCAATCGAAATTGGTAGGTATGATTACCATAAGAAGACAATTAATGTGTTACATGCAAGACACAAGGCCGCACGAAGGTCATATGTCAAATTCTGTCCAACATATAACTTTGTCATTACTTGATAGATTATGAAAACATTCGGCACATTTCTTTACCACTATCAGACCGCTAGTACGTGTCGCATGTTAGATTATGTCCAATGCCATTTTGGAGGACAAATGTCAAATTGTGTTTACTTTTGTCATTACTTAATGAATTTTCCAATTATTAATTAAATGTCAGTTGGTGTGTCAGTCATATAGTGTGTCATGCGTAAGATCTTATGTGAAGATTGGACTTGGTGATCAAAAGTAAAAGTGTGCCTGCCCACTAGTTTATTCCGTCATGTATTATTAAAAAATTCGCAAATTTCCTCGCCAGGGTCAGAAGATGTGTCTTGCTCAACAATACTTAGATTCAAGACCGACGAGTTTTGATAGCTATCGCTAATATTTGTTTTATCTATATGGTTTAATACCAATATTAACTCAAATGTACAAATTATATCTTTGATATGATAGATTAAATATATCAATTTTAGGTTCCAACAGAGTAGTCTTCCAGTTATATATACAAAATATATTGATTTTATTTTGCATAACTTATAGCACATCAAATCTCAAAGTGTTTCAAATAATTTCTTCTTCACCGGTAAATAATTTAGGTGTTTAGTTAGTTAGTATCGTTGTTCACTGTAACGTTGGTCATAGGCGTAATATCTCTCTATCATTATGCACATTGTCACATTAAGGTAACACAATATACATTAATGTTTTATTCACCCTGAATTTGTCCTTAATGCCACATTTTTTATATTTGACCAATACAATGTAGTAAAAGAACAAGGTGGCTCTAAATTCAAGTGACTGTGTGTTATATAAATTATCTACATTAATTTATTTTATTTGTGTTTTGTGCAACTTGTGTTAATGTTTTTATACATTTTCTAATACTGCATATGCGGTTTGTTTTGTCTCGTGGAAATATTTGCGATTTTTGCAAATTGAAATAATTCGCAAATATTTCATCGCGCAAAAATTATTTCTTTTCAGGCAAACACGTTTTCATACAGCATCTTACATGAATAAGTTTGACTGTTCAGGTAGTGAGATCAATCTTTCTCATTGCTTGTCTAGTTATTCATACAAAGTTTATTTCAAACAATTTAATGAAAAGGTATTAAACAACTGAATAGAACGATCACAATAACGGCATATTCTTAACATGTACCTGCTTAATCAATGATATCACAAAAACAGTATTTAAATTGAAAAAATATTTTCAAAAATATTTCCGCACGCAAAACGTCCACTTTTTGACATTGGCAATTTTTTTGTGATGCATAAATATCCACAAATACAGTATTTATATCAGACTAAGCAAAATCTTCAATTATCATTTAATCTTAAAATCAATTTTGAAAATTCTTTACTGGGGTTGTGACTAGGGTAAACGTAAAATCGATTTAAGTTTCAACCCAATTTATAAATGATTACAAATCAACAGCAAAGAACGATTTGGAAAAGAACAAGAGGGTAAAATAAAGTTACATGTATATGAAATCAATTGTTATTTACATCTAAAATAAAGTAAATGATAAATTTACATACCAGCAGCCATGTTTATTATTCGTGTAAGTTTTGTAAACTTTGTATATATATACATAAGGATTGGTGGCTTTATCACCTGAACTAGATAGATATGAACATGCAGGGTTGATAAAGAAGAAAGATTACCAATGATAGCAATAAGGGATCTAGAAATTAAAAAAGATGAGTATAATAGCGTTACCAGTCAATCCGGCCCACGATTACTCGATCAGGCCCAAATTGCTCCTTTCCAAATTAAATTGGCCCCATTTTTTACTTTATTTTTTTCTTCTTCATTAATTTCAGTAAATAATTATAACATGAGACGATGATGATAATGATGAGCATGGAGAAAATGCTGGAATAATTAAGATGTATTATTCATTATTCCAATGAACTTTAAGATGTCACGTTAATTTTCGGGTCTTATTAGGTTTTAGATTAGCCTAATACACACATGAAAGATAATTAAATGCTATAATCTTAAAAAAAAATAAAAATTATCATTCACTAGAAAAAAGCTTCAAGTTTAATTATATAAGTACAATAAAGTCCATAAAGAAAATTTGAAAAATAAAAACCAACAAATAAAATAGTACATAGAGACTCAACATTTACAAAATAATTAAGTTATGGAGTGGATTTGAAACCACTCCGATAAATATCATATACTTAATAGTTTCACGAGACAGAACTGATGTGACAATATTTTCTGGAGAAAACAGTTTAAAAGTTGGAAAATATTGTTTATTAGGCATAAAAATCATACATACATATATTCATAAAACCTGATATGAAGAATGTGACGACCTTTATTTTGAACTGCTGACGGTATGATTAGATCGCTTAGTATTGAGGTATTGTCGGCAGTGGAAAATCACGTGAGTCACGATATTTACTCATTTTCAAGGGAAAGTCAGTCTTTTTTAAAAGCAGTTTCCGCAACGTACATTAAACCTGGGGAACAACGTGAAACTGAAAAACATTTACAGTTATAAGAGCGTCAACCTTCAAAGTACCGAATCACATTCAGAGAGACTTTCTTTCGTGTTGATGCAAACAGACGTAATCGTGCTCGTCAGGCTACAAATGAAGCACCAAGTTACGCATAGGAGGACTTCCGACCTACTGTGTCAATCAGTGAAGAACATATGAAATTGTGCGGATGGACAAAACAAAGAAACCATTATCAACGTGAAAGTGTAATACGCACTATATACGGTGACGTAACGCAAATTTGTGAAACCCATCTCAGTTATGAGTTCGATTGACTTTAAAAACACATATGGATTTAGTGAAATCCTTTTTTAGTGATATCTATAACATTGAAGTTATTGATAAATTATACGATGTCATAATAGCAGTGAAATTTATACATAAAGAAACATGAAATGACTAGGCTATCTCCACTCAGAAAACTCTACGAGAGATCGTGGAAACAAATCCTTCTACGATCATTAACTATCACAGATCAATTTATGCAGTGAGTGTGATAGAATTTCTTTTTGTAGAAGACTCTAATGCTAGAATCAAATCATTATCAGATGTATTAGATGTATGTGATTCCGTACCTGCAAGGAAAAACATCTATAATTAAACAATCAGCATGGACAGGGATTTCTCGGAATCTTAAATGAATCTTAATTCTGTTGTATTTGATATTGACAGCCTTGACCTTTGTAATTAAGTCGTCGAATTTAATCTTTCTCTGTTTTGTATGCAGAGGACATTTGTTCTCATGGCAGACAGAGAAACTGTTAGACACCGTCAAAATTGGAGTAAATACTGAAGTATTCTGATCAACGCTAGCAAAGCAAAATGGATTCATCTGCACAGGGGACGGTTATCAAGAAGCTAATTTGAGTTTAAGATTACGATAGATAACACTACGTTAGCAACAGTTCAACTACATAAACATCCTCTTTTTACTTGGAAAGAACGACTTCACGTACAGTTGTGAGTCTTTTTGGAACGCAGATAATGTGTTGCATCAAACCTTTGAAAATGGGTTTTAAGCAGAGTCAACATTATGACAATGTTCAACATAGGGCTATGAAGTCATCGTTTCACACCTATTCTTTCGATGATCGGGGATACTGGATGGTTACCCAGCGTTTACAGGCTGAGAACGGTGCTCGTAACATTTCGCAAATGCGGAATCAACTAATTATGATGGATGTTAGAAATTGCCCAATGCTGACTTTTTGAAATGTAATAACAACTTGTCATATGATACACAAAAGATTTTTTATTTCTGATTTACGTTAGGGAAAGCTGCGGCAGACCTTACACACGCAAACGGACAATTGAAGACAGACATTAATTCAGTATCTAAACTATGGACATATCGTCTATTTAAGAGTGCCTTTTAATGTGAAGATTACGTTGTCGTTTATATAGGTAAGAATTCGATATCATGTCAGTTTAGAGCGGGTTAATAACCAATAAGAATTGAATTGAATTTGTACATTTTTTGGTATTTACTTTCACTTTTCATATAAATATATTTAAAATGATATGTTTCAATTAGTTTATTGAAGGATGGATTATAGATTTGGATGTGTGAAGAAATGGATTTCCTTTATTTGGCTTGAATTATCACAATTTAATAGAGGGAAGATAAAGTCAATATAAAGTAATTATCAAGCGGTAACATTTATTTTTCCCATAGGATATTTTGCTTATTCACTGAGTGGATTTTAGGATATGTTTAATTATAATAAAATACATTATAATAGATCCTTTTTGACAAAGAACTAGTGAATTATTCATTTTATTTTTTGATTGCCTTGAAATTTGTCATACTGATATAATACTACAAGTTAATTAATATCTAGAAACAGGAAGATCCTTTGAGATCAATGTAAACGTTTGTAATTCGTATTCTATTTATGAAAGATGCTGAAAGGTGCAACATTCTCTTAAGCATTATTCAAATTTTAACATTTTCAGTATTGGAATCATTGATCCCGAGGGAACGGAAAACTATAACACTACTGCGATAAAGCATGCATGGGCTGTACACAAAATAAAATATACACTGAGCATTTTTGTCAGTCCCTACAATATTGTCTAGCTATGTTAGTAGTGTTTTAACGGTTTCGCAATGGTTTTCTGCACTGTTTATTCATATTGAAATTTGCAAACATATTTATTTCGTAAATGTAGTTATTCTTCTTTCAAAATTAAAAAGACCGCCTGGCACTATATAATATAGCTTTTTGCCAGATATTTATATACTTTTAAGGTAGGCATGGTTCAAGAGTGAATCCCAAAGACAAACGCGTTTTTCTATTCATTTCCATTACTTTAAATAAAGGTTCTTCTGGCCCTGCAATCAAATAAGTTTTTTGCATGTGACCAATCATGTCATAATAGAGACATTTTACGTCCAAGTAGTGAATACAATGCATACACTTCTTTGATTTTTCTAAGGCCAAACGATAGAGAGAACAGAAATTCAAAGAGAAGACCCTTGAGAACGGTTTGGCTAAGCCTGTTCAAGGACTGTAGCGGTATGCGCCCCTAAGTATAGGCTAGAATAGCATATTATTTAAGAAATTTGGTCAACTTGACTTAAATGATCTATTTTCTCTTTCAAAAAAGAAGACATTTTAATTCATAGTGCAAAGAAAACAGCAACAACAACAAAAAAACCCACACAAAACAATTTTATGCAAGTTTATGGAATAATGATCGCCCCGTACACGTAGTGAGAGATGTCTTAAAGAGCAATTTTAGTTCCTACCGTTTGTTATTTTCCTTTGAGATTGTTCCATTATTGGCAATCGAGCAATGTTTTATCACGTTAAGGATATACACCTGGCTTTGTCTCTGACGTTTGCCTGTGATATGCAGACTTCTTAATCTTTGACCCATTCAAATTTAGTTCCTTCATTGTACTCACGTTATTTATATGAAGTAATACATTTTGTTCACATGGATATAATCAGACACACTTTTGAAATATGTTCAACAAATCATTTACATGTACTAATAATATATATAAAATAAAGACAGATGTTGTAATTGTCTCATTTTATTAAATTGTGCGCTCATAAGGCACAATTAGAATCCAACAAATAACTTTGACCCAGCATTTCTTGTACATGCATGCATATACAAACTAATTTCTCAATTGACATGCAAAGATATAAACATATAATCTCCATGAAAACTAGAAAAATATCTCATTAATAAATTACTCAAAAATGAATAACTGTTTATAAACTTCATTGTATGCATGCACATTTCCTCATGCCTCTCCTTCAACACATAATGTTAAGACTAGTATACTTTAATTATTTCTTATATTATTTTTTAACAAGATTGAAATATAACAAGCGCTACCCTCGATTACACATCATTGCTATTCTGTTTCACAGGAGTATTTCCACTTTGAACAACTAGAGATGTATATACCAATGCATTCTATCTCAGTCGGAACACTAAATGCTCTTATGATCTGTTCAGTTGAAATATGCTCTATAGATGTCCTGATTTGCCTGCCACTTCACGAGGGAAATGAACTCCTAAATTTCACTTTTTGAATGTAGATTCCTGAAGTTTTTTGGCATCATGTTGATTAATATTGAATCATTTTTATTGGGATTATTGTGTTTATCACAATAAGTATACATTGGCTGTATCAGTTCCATGTAGCTGAACAATGCATTGATACTTGTAATACACTGAAAGTTTAGAGCCTGTCTTCCCGATTATTGTTATGGCAGCACAAAAAAGAGGTTCACTTTTATTCATAGCATCCCTATGTAAAGTTTTTGACTCTCGGCATCATCATGTCATATTAAGTCTTTTTACGCATCGTGATTTTAAACTTCTTTGAACTTATTCTTTTGTATATGTGTTTTGACTCTGTGCCTTGTTGTTTTAAATGTTTTAATTCTTACAGCAACAACACGCTAGGCAGAGATATTCATGTTTGATATCTATTATATTATCAATGTCAATGTCATTACTGATATGAGTGCATGGTTTGAACTTTGTTTTTGATTTTCCATTTTGCTACATGTTTGTTTGAAGGCAGATGCTGAACAGTGCTTTTTCTACTCATATGATTGTTAATTTTTTAATTGACACTG